CCCCAATTCCCAAATCCCCCAATTCCCAACTTCCCCCATTCCCAAATCCCCCAATTTCTAAATCCCCCAATTCCTAAATCTCCCAATTTCCAAAACCCCCAATTCCCAAATCCCCCAATTCCCACCTCCCCCAACTTAACCTAACCTTCCGGTACTTCCTGAAGAAGTAGATAGCCAATTTCTATAATCCTCATGTGCCTCACATTGACCGCAACCCAAATCTCTCGGCGCTGTACCGGAAGGAATCGAACTAGCGTTTGATAAACTCCACGAATATTTTATCGTTTTAAACCCTGTATCCTAACAAGGACAAAAGGAATGTTTAATCTGTGTAGGCAGTAATTCCAACGCAGCGCAATGGTTGTCAGTTAATCGAGGGCCGACTATAGAAGTAGCAGCATGTAGACTATAAATCGTAAATGTACTTTCGTGCCTGTCATGTGCTTTGGCCAGGTATCGGCTATTGATTTATGTTACGAAGATAAAGATAGAGTATTGTTTGCCGGTACCCATTGGAAATTGAAAACAATAAAAGGGAAGTGTGTATTTCGAGGAAAATCGACACCGTTCATTTGCGGTGCGCTTTACAGTTCGCAGGATATCCGCTGAGAGGAGATACGCTCGGACGCAGGTATTTCATTATTTTATTTCGAATTTTTTGGTGGGTGGATTTGGAGAATGTTTGGAGATTTGTGTTGAGGAAGGAGATGGAATTTTTTAGTGGTGGCTTTGATTTTCGGAATGCTTGGAAAATTCTTGAGGTACCAAATTTTTATATTTTCCAATTCTAAATTTTTCAGTTGCAACATTCTACAATTCCAACATTTCCCAATTCCATCATTCCCCTATTCCATTATTCCTCAATTCCCACATTTCCCTATTCCCACATTTCCCTATTCCCACATTCCCCAATTCCCACATTGTTCAATTACCACATTCCCCAATTCCATCATTCCCCTATTCCATCATTCCCCAATTCCCACATTTCCAGTTCCCACATTCCCCAATTCCCACATTCCCCAATTCCCTCATTCCCTAATTCCTACATTGTCCCATTCCCACATTCCCCAATTCCCACATTCCCCAATTCCCACATTCCTCGATTCCCACATTTCCCACATTCCCCAATTCCCACATTCCCCAATTCCCACATTCCCCAATTCCCACATTCCCCAATTCCCACATTCCCCAATTCCCACATTCCCCAATTCCCACATTCCCCAATTCCCACATTCCCCAATTCCCACATTCCCCAATTCCCACATTCCCCAATACCCACATTGTCCAATTCCCACATTGTCCAATACCCACATTCCCCAATTCCCACATTCCCCAATCCCCACATTGTCCAATTCCCACATTGTCCAATTCTCACATTCCCCAATTCCCACATTCCCCAATTCCCACATTCCCAAATTTCCCAAATATCCCAATTTTCAAATTACCTAAATTGCAACCTTTTTAAATCCTCCACTTCCTTCCATAATTATAATTGCAACCATAACTCAATCGAAAAAACAATTTTCCTAATATTACACATATATTTTTATACTCACACTAAAATTGCTATTTATATTAAAAATTGTAACGCAACCTCAATTAATAAAATCATACAATGAACCCAATAAAATTTCCAACCCTAAATTATAGTATAAATAATTTGATCAATTAAAATAAAATATTGAATAAAATGAATATATAATATTAATTACCTGTACGTTCATATAAAATTGATTAAGGCAATAGGACTTGAAGTATCAATATTAAATAATAAATTTTAATTGATCGAATGTGCATGGATGTAGGATATTGTTTGATGTCTTACTTTTTGGAAAATTCGCCAGAGTCGTTGAAATCACCACTGAATATCAATGAAATAATCACTGGACACCAGCGAACAAAAGAGAGGAGAACTGAAAACGAAGGAACCGAAAGAAAATGGAGAACGGTGAAAACGAACTGAAGCCGCGGACGTTCTCCACGTGACTAACAAAACTGGCTCCTGAGCTCCTCGGCGAAAAGCAAGACAAACAGAACGCCAACCAACGCGCAAGTCTTCTGTGCTCCAATCGGGTACGGTGGCTTGCAAGAGTGTTTGTGTTTTATTCTTTAACCCTTTCGGATTTGAATGTTTAGAGTCTCATTTTTCTATGTTCAAATTATCACATTTTAAATTGACAGGTGCGTAAACTCACAACTGTTCAATTCCACAAACCTCTGAATACACAAATTCTATACTACCAAATTCTCGAATGTCTAAATTCGTAAACTACCAAATTTTTAAATGTACGGATTCCTAATTTTGTATGTTCAAATTAGTACAACCCAAATTTTCAACTTTTTGAAGTGACAGCTATTCAATTCCCCAAATCCTTGAATACCCAAATTCTCATATTTTCAAACTTTCAAAGTTTCAAAGTTATAAATCATAAAATTCCTGAGACTCCAAATTCTGAAGGACACAAATATCAAAATCCCCAAATTCATACATCTGCAAATTCTCAAAGTGCTAACTCCCTAAATTCCCAAATCTCTACATCTGCAAATTGTCTACTCTCCCAAATTGTCCTGAACCCCAACTCTGCAACACCCAAAACTCCCAAATCCCCAAATCCTGAAATCCAGAAATCCAGAAATCTCTAAATTATCAAGGAGCCAACTCCCCAATTTCCCAAATCCCTAGATCCCCATATCCCCAAGTCCCTATATCCCTAAAATCCCAAATCTCCAAATTTGCAAATCCCAAATCCATAAATCTCCAAATTCTCACAGAGCCAACTCCCCAATATCCCAAATTCCTAAATCTCTAAATCCCCATATCCCCAAATCCCTATATCCCTAAAATCCCAAATCTCCAAATTCCCAAATCCCAAATCCATAAATCTCCAAATTCTCAAAGAGCCAACTCCCCAATTTCCCAAATCCCCATATCCCCAAATCCCTATATCCCTAAAATCCCAAATCTCCAAATTCGCAAATCCCAAATCCATAAATCTCCAAATTCCCAAATAGCCAACTCCCCAATTTCCCAAATCCCTAAATTTCTAAATCCCCATATCCCCAAGTCCCTATATCCCTAAAATCCCAAATCTCCAAATTCCCAAATCCTAAATCCATAAATCTCCAAATTCTCAAATCTCCCAACCCCCCAAACGAAATACAATTATTAAGTCATTAAAAATAATATATTAATTAAAAATGTTTAAGTAGGATGTTACACAACATGTAGCAATAATATTCTCGCATCGGGAGATAGAAATACAGGCAGTTGTAGTGCATCGTTTGAAACCACTTGTCCTGTAATATAATGGGAACTGGAGGACCCATAAAACATGCGAATTCCCGATCGTTGACTTGTACTACTGCAGCCAGAATACATCTCTGAATTGACCCAGAAACGACTCATGGTTGACTAGCGTCTCTTGTAACGTTGCCACATCATTGTCCACTGCGTAATTGAGTTTATCTAAATTTATTAGAGTATCCACTTTTCAAAACTGCCTATCTAAAATTATCTAATTTGATCATAACGTTTGACAATTTTGCTAAATACAATATCACGGTTCGTTAAATTAGGTTTGGTGCATTTGACAATTTGTAACTTTGAACATCTGCCAATTTGGTAATTAATTTGAAAAGTTGTACACTTGCCAGTTTGCAAATTAATTAATTTAAAAATTTACTGATCGAGTATCGTCCTATATCTGTTACATCAATTATAATTATTCTTATATCATACACCTTTAACAATTTTGTGAAAAAATGGAAGATTTGAAATGTTTAGTAATTATATTAAATTAAGTTAACAAATTGCGATCAAATGTTTTCATGTTGCTATTCCACAATTTACATTTTAAAAAAGCAATTTTATAGAAACTGCATTACCATAGTAATTACTTCGTTTGTGCGTGGCACTTGTGTAAATGAACGTTCGTTTCAAATTAAACTTTACTTTTGCGTTTATATTCTTGATTAAAGTAATTTTTAAGAGAATATATTAATAGAAAAGACTCCTGAAATACCTCCAAGCATATAACAATCTAATTTTACTGTTTAGAACTGAAAATTAATGCTGATAAAGTCTTTACACACTTTTCCATTTCAAATTTCGCGCGCAAATCGCAATAGTACCGGTGGCGCCATCTCTCCGGCGAACGGGGTGAACTACACGTATCTGGAGCAGGTCCTTCGTTAGTTCAATTTTTCGCCACCAGGCGGCGCTAGTATCGCTGCCCTCTTGTGGCAAAAAGTGGAACTAACTAAGGACCTCCTCCAGATGGGTGTAGTTCACCCTGTTTGTTGAAGAGATGGCGCCACTAGTCCTATTTCCGATTTGCGCGGGAAAATTTGAAAATCCAAATTACCTACATATATTATTACCACTAATTTTCTGTCAGCAAGACAAAATAATAAGAATCCAATAAATTTAGACCACTTTAGAATATTTTAGAAGTGTTAATATACCCAAAAAGTTAATTAATTAAAAAATTTATATTCAATATTCAGTGTCAGTAGTTCCACTGTTCACCGCTAGAAAAATACTTGATTTTCACGTGTGTAGTATAACCTATAAAGTACACTAAATACTTGTTTTTAATATTCCAACGTTCAAAATCTCTAATAAAAATGCTTCTCACTCTGCTATGTTAATATAACATAGAAATAAAGTTGCAATAAAGTAGTTAAATAAGTTGAAGTAGAAGTTTAACCTAAAATCTTATGGGACTACATTTGTAAACAATGTCAGCCCCATGCCAGGATATCATAGAGGATATAGAGGATCTAATATCCTCACAGGATATTACACCCAAAGAACGTTATAGTTCAAGGAAAAATATCACTGTGCGTTCGAAACGCAATCAGTTACGTGAGGAGCTGCCACAGCCTCCGGTCTTCAACAGTATTGTACCAGGAACACAGACAATTTATGTGAAAACATGGGGATGCACTCATAATAGTTCTGACAGTGAATATATGGCAGGACAGCTTGCTGCCTATGGTTATAGATTGACAGAAGACAAAAGCAAAGCAGACTTATGGTTGCTAAATTCTTGCACAGTGAAGAGTCCTGCTGAAGATCATTTTAGGAATGAGATTGAAGCTGGGAGAAAGCAGGGGAAACATATTGTAGTTGCTGGGTATGATTTTATTATTTGTCTGCATAATATTAAATACCGATGAAATTAAATATTTTTCAGATGCGTACCACAAGGTGCTCCCAAGTCATCCTTCCTGCAAGGGTTGAGCATGATCGGTGTGCAGCAGATCGACCGTGTGGTAGAAGTGGTAGAAGAAACCTTGAAGGGAAATTCAGTTCGCTTTTTACAACAGAAGAAGGAAGCAGGGAAAAAGATTGGTGGTGCTTCCCTGAGTTTGCCAAAAGTTAGGAGAAATCCACTGATTGAGATCATAGCCATCAACACAGGCTGCCTAAACCAATGCACTTACTGTAAAACCAAACATGCAAGAGGAGAATTAGGAAGTTACCCTCCTGAAGAGATAGTTGAAAGAGCAAAGCAGGCATTTGAGGAGGGAGTTTGTGAGTTGTGGCTAACATCTGAGGACACTGGTACCTATGGCAGAGATATTGGCACAAGTTTACCAGAATTGTTGTGGAAACTGATAGAAGTAGTGCCTGATGGTTGCATGATTCGCGTTGGAATGACCAATCCTCCTTACATTCTGGAACACCTGGAGGAAATGAGCAAGATTCTACGACACCCGAAGGTGTACAGCTTCCTCCATGTTCCGGTGCAGTCTGGTAGTGATCAAGTATTGGCGGACATGAAACGCGAATACACTTGCGCTGATTTCGAGATGGTTGTGAACTTTCTTCGAGAACGTGTTCCAGGATTGACCATCGCAACTGACATCATTTGTGGCTTTCCAACAGAGACAGAGAAGGATTTTGAAGAGACAATGAAGCTTTGCGAGAAGTATAAGTTTCCGAGTCTGTTCATCAACCAGTTCTTTCCTCGACCGGGTACACCCGCTGCTAGAATGCAGAAAGTACCCACACAGGATGTGAAGAAGAGGACGAAAAGATTATCCGAATTCTTTCAGTCTTATTCCCCGTATGATAACAGAGTGGGTCTGATACAAGATGTGCTGGTAACAGAAGTATCGCACGATAAGAAACATTACGTTGCTCACAATAAGTTCTATGAGCAGGTTCTGGTGCCTTTGAAAGAGGAGTACTTAGGGAAGATGATTAAAGTTAAAATCGTTGAGACAACAAAGTATTCCATGAAGGGAGAACCGATAAGTGAAGGAGTGTCACCGTCGGTAAAACAGTGTTTAGCCAAAGGAACTGTATCTGGTATACCGATCGAGATGAAACCATCCAAGTACAGGATAGCTGCGATTCTCACAATTTTTGTGGCAGTCATTTGTCGACTGTTGTGGAAATTTTTAATGGTTTAATTTACTGACGAGTTAGGTGTTAAATAAATACAACAGTTTTATATTAAAAGTAAAACGTATTTAATTCTTTATCTTCACATTCTTAGACTATAAGCATGTTGGAAGTAACAAACTTATACACTTTTTTTTTTCGTTTTTCCTTTTTTTTTTTACAAAGAACGTAATTTTTTAAATTGACAGAAGATCATTGTTTTATGAAAATAACAAATGTGTATCTCAAAACGTATACCTAATTCGCACCGCATATAATAGTTACTAAAATATCTAGTACGCAATACTGAAACTTTAGCGAGAAAACCGTGTCGAAGGTTTTGGTATCTTCTACATACTATTTTCTTATCGTACTTCCATCGGAAGTACAATTATAGGCACAATGGTAATAAGTCTAACTGCTATACAAAACATGGTCGGACATATTTCTATAATTTATGTGGGATGGGATAGTTTAGGAGCACTCGAGACACTAGCTAAACGTTTATACCACAAACCAAAATGCAAGAAAACAAGTAGTCCTATTCGTATCGCATTCGCGTATCTTCATAAATTTACAATATCTTCCTAGATGTATAGGTAAAATTTTTGTAATGGAAATACACAAAACAGGATTTAAATAATACACTTGTGAGGGAGATTACAAACAATACAATGTTAAAATTTTAGAGTAATAGAAACTAAAGTATAAAAAATAAACATAAATTTAAAACTTTGTGATAGACTTTAAAAAAATGGCACATCAAAGTGGCGTACTAGGATACTAAAATATCTTAAGGAAGATGAGATAAAACAGAAGCTTTTTTTCAATTTCAATTTGCAACAATTGTAGATTTTCTACTTTACAAAATAGATCCTTCTTTAATTGTAGTTTTAGATCTTTCCAACTCTACAATTTAAATTATTTACATTTGCTAAACCTCATCTTACTTTTACAACAGACATCTTTATACATAAAAGAAACAATGTTGCGCACAACAAATACAGGGTCTTATTTTTAAAAACTGCAAGTGGACATTGTAAAAATTTATCTTTAGTTAAAAAATTATAATTCGTTGTATAAAAAGTGGCAAGATATTCGAATCACCAGTGTGGTGTAAATTTTGTGCCTTAAACAGTTTACATCGTGTTAAGAGGCACACTAAAATTTTTTTCAAAAAATTCTGTTTAAAATTTAGTACATAAAACGTTCGACATAGAAATTATATATTAAATATAGTAATTCTATAATACTGCAATTTTCTGCAGACACGTACAAATTCGAATAAAAAACATTTGTTCAATTAAATTATTAAATTTAATCGGTTACGAATTAGGGAATAGGTTTTGATTACATATTCTCGATAAATTTGGTACTGTTAACATATAATCTATAATTTACATAAACATATAATTCTAAATATAAAAATACTTAACGCGCAATGCTATTTAACGAGGAACTACTTGTTTCTTGCATTTCTCATTTCTTACATTTTATAAATAAACGTTCACTCATTGACATCTCGAGTTACTATGAACCGTTTCATTCTGTATTAACCCTTTCTTCCTAAATATTATTCAGAAAATAGACCCGCAAATATATGCTTCTATTGTACAAAAATATATATCTATTTTATTTCTTCGAAATATTCTTTTACATTTCTTTTTGTAATTTCTATGAACAATTGCGGCACTTGTTTGAGGTTAGGAAAGTTGCTATGTTATCGACAATATCATTGATATACCGTTGATTAACATGTAATTTTATTACTCAAACCTATCTATTCTCGTCCAAACTTCCAATCATGGTACATAAATTTATAATTCTTGGTTATGTCAAAAATTTGAACGAGGAGAAACAGATTTGAATTATAGAATTATGTGTCAGGTTAAGTTATATCTTGTGTAATATTGAGATGAATAAATATATTTAAATGACAATATTAAATATTATATTCTACCTTAAAACGATATCTCAAAGATATTACCGATAAAATATCGACAACCGATCCTTACAAGAGCTACTGTAACGGTGTTCGGTAAAAAAGGGTTAACATTCACGCAGTATATTTGTACTTAAAACACTTTTTGATTAATAATTGCCAAGATAATCTCTTCCTTAAAACGTTAAAAAACGATGGCACAAAGAACCAAAGTGGCGTACTAGAGCACTAAAAACATTGGTAAAAAATAAAGTATGGCTCCCAAAAAGGGGTAAACGTAGAGAGAAAATGAGAAGCGTTTGATTTCGGTTATCACTAATTTACCAAAAAAAAAAATCGGTTCGCTCGTTGAAACTCAACTTGCGGCGAGTGGTCAAAATTATAATGAACATACAAGATCCGTTCGATCGATAATCCATTACAATTTTGCACCTGTCTTTTAGTTTCATAATGCCACAATTTGTACACAACTATAAAACGTATATATATTAAACGTACATTGGGTCGTTTCCGTTTGAACGACGCTAACTCTCGTGGAATACTAACGGTTCGCGAGAAAAATTAAATTAAATTAATTCCAACGATCCTATACGCTAAAACATTTTTAGAGAGAAACGTGACAGCATTTTAAAAATATTCTGACGAACTAATTGTCGTGTTTTTGATTTTAGAGGAATGTTTTATAATCTCCTGAGATTCCGTTTACTCTGTCTTGAGCCGACGACCAGCCGTTTGTTCCTCTTGGTCGGCGTAGCCAGCAGGGGTGTTTTACAGGGTCCGGTGTGCGGCCTCGAAGAGCAGAAGGTGCAAAATTCCATTGAGCAACCTTGCCTCGAACACGTTCCCACGTTTTTCTCGCCGTCCACGTGACAAGGGAATGAGCACTTCGGACAGGGTAACAAATGCTCCCAGGGCGCGAGTGTACGACTAGCCTGTCAACAGAAAGAACACAGTTAGTACATCTTCATCTTTGTGCTTTAAAAATTCTTAAATATATACACAAAAATTTAATACAAGTTATGGTAACAGAAAATTATTAAAAATTATATTCATTTTTTTACAGTTGACAATTTTGGAATATGAAAATATTCAATCTCACAATTTTCAAATACTAAAATTTTCAATTTCCCAAATTCTCAACTTGTTGGTAAGTTAAAAAATCCCAAACTTCCAAATTCCTTGTTGGTAAAATAGAACATGACACAGGAATAGTAACAGGCTTCTAGAACCCCATAGAACACATGGTACAAGAAAATCTGTGTACCACAGGTACAGTAGATTCACTCTTTACCGACAGTAGAAAATTCCAAACTAAAACCATCTGCGCATACTACAGAGGTCTATATGTTGAAATATCAACTGAAAATTTGCAAATTTTAGTTACAGTGTATTAAACAAAAATATGTATTTAAATACACATCCTTAAAACTAGAATTTATATGAAATTTATATGACTACTTATAGGAAACAAAGTACCATAGTATGAAAAAGTCCATTGTACTGTCTTATCAGGAACCCCATAGCTATCAGCCAGATAACGATATCATTTAGTCCTATAAATTTAATTGGCAAAAATGCCGGGGCAATTAGCGTCCCATTCTAACCGTCTCGTTGCAAATTAATTAATCGCTTGCACCTGTCGGTGTGAGAATAATTTTCTTTCGGTAACATAAGGTGAAAGGTGCGCTGAGCTTCACGGGTAACATAAGGAGAAATACGCGCATGAATTGCATGGCGTTTATCATTCAACATAGCGTCACGAACAACAAACAACGTAGTCCGAGCAATCTGTCGTGCATTACTAATTAGCGCGACAGAAAATGCGTGAGAATATTTGAACATCATGGAAGGTGTGATACGTCATCGACAAATGGCAGTGATGCTGAACGGATGGTAAAATTCAAACCTTAGAAACGGTCGCAAATATTTTCGCGATTTCACTTAACCTAACATTAACCTTTTTCTAAAAAATTGTCGTTTTAGACTCGATGAAAGAGGTTAAGCGTTTAACGAATGTTCTAGAATATTTAGGACACTAATTTATTTTCTATCACGAGACATTGTAATGTAATTTTATTTTCTATCACGAGACATTGTAATGTAATTTTATTTTCTATCACAAGCCACTGTATTTTTCATCACAAGAGAAATAAATTTACTTGGCAGTTTTGAGATAATTTATTTGGCGCGAAATCGATGAGAACAGTTGTTTTGTTACACTTCATGGTAATTCTTGAGCCAGATGTGAATTTTTCCGCCATTTGAGGTCACGTTCGGTTTAGTTTGGGATAGCGGGACATTTTCCGACTCTGCTGATCACTAAGGTATGCAAACCATGCGTTGATGCTTAGCAGCCGAATAGGTTTCAGTGTGAATGGGCCACCAATAGAAACGCCGAAACTTTTGGCGCCAGAATTATTGGCGGGAAGAGAGCTGACTGGCCCATACAGGTTAGGCTACAAGGACCACACGAACGAGGCTGTTTCACTTGACCGACAAATACTTCCTGAACAATCCTCACGTTCACGCTACTTCAATGACATATGTTTCAATTTGATTTACAGTGATGGTATGTTTTTATTTGTAGGTTATTTTGTGCATCAGCTATTATAATTTATAGGTAATAGTATTATATTGTTACTATTATTTAATTCATTCATGATGCAGATTTTTATTTCTAAATAATTCTATCAATTAACAATAAATATTTTACTGATTTACGGTCTAAACTTAATATTTTATTCTGTATTTATTTTTATAGATTTCTGAAGAATGCAACGTGTGCAGTAAATTTTTTTGAGAAGAATATTGTTTAATAAGGAGCCAGAATGCATTAAAGAACATGTAAAATATTCTAAATCTGTAAATCATATTTTCTCTGCATAAAAAATTACCTACATGATTTATAACAGTCTAGACTGAAAATTTAATCCTGTATTTATTTTTATAGATTTCTGAAGAATGCAACGTGTGCAGTAAATTTTTTTGAGAAGAATATTGTTTAATAAAAAGCCAGAATGCATCAAAGAGCATGTAAAATACTTTTAAATATTCTAAATCTGTAAATCATATTTTCTCTGCATAAAAAATTACCTACATGATTTATAACAGTCTAGACTGAGAATTTAATCCTGTATTTATTTTTATAGATTTCTGAAGAATGCAACATGTGCAGTAATTTTTTTTCAGAAGAATCTTGTTCAATAAAAAGCCAGAATGCATCAAAGAACATGTAAAATATTTTTAAATATTCTAAATCATCAAATCATATTTTCTCTGCATAAAAAATTGCCTAACTAAAAATACAATTATTACAAAAATTTGAAAATTGACTTATTTTTGTTATCTTTACAGTGTCAGTACGCAGATGTGCTTGAAAATTGAAGAAAGAATCTATTATGAACAGAGTTAAAATTCGAAGATGTGGAAAGAGTATTCTACTGTGGTTCTCCAACTTAATATGTACGTTAACGACCGTAGCAACCGACTTGGGAAATGTAGAAAATGATGATAGGGTTCGAACGAACGCCCCTTCCCACAATGTAGCAGCAACAGTTGGCTGTTCGACCACATTGTGCGGCACACATCTACAAATACTGATGTCGTAACGGTCCCTAAATTCTCCAAAGACGGTTCAAAGATACCATACTTCCTGCAACCATGTTTGAAAAAGGTCTTCCCAGTTGGAGGCAGTGAAAACTATATACTCCATGGCCCAGAAGTTTTGGAAAAGCTTTGAAGTTAAAAATTAAGTTTGGAAAAAATTTTTCCAAAATTTTTTGGAAAATTTTTTTACTTATGGAAAATTATTTTGTAACTTAAAAATTTATACATTTGAAGAATTTTCAGATTGTAAATTTGTGAAATTGGAAATATCAAAGTGGAAAATGAGAAATGAAATTTTTTGTAGAAGGAAAGAATATGCGGAAGGAACTTCAGTTATATTAAAATTGTGGAACTGAAATATGAACAAAGAGTGTAGAAAGTGTGATAAAAGAAGTCATTTTGACTGGCACTTATTAACATACCCTATATATGAGCCATAAAATAATCAGGTAGTTATGTTGAAATATTCAACCCGAAATTTCGGTTGGAGAATATTCTCATCAGGAACGGTTCTACGTAATGACCAAACGAAGTTAAAAAAACTTTCTACCATGTGGGTATTCATTAAGGGACTGGGTAGAAATAGACCCAAACAGGGACGTATTAAGAGAAGGGCAACCACCCTTCTCAATTTCTAAATTTCATCAATACTTATATTTACTATTCATACAAATATAATTTATAAATTGTAAATTATTATAAATTATTTAAAATTTGTTTTTGATCAGGGTGTCCAATATTATGAGGCAAACAGAGGGGATGAAATTCTACCCAGTCACAAAAATAACATGAAGTAAGTTGATAATTTTGTATAATATAAAGAAGTGATAAATAAATGGCAAAAGCTTGTAAGAGAAAAAATAAATGTTTAGGTCCACGGCATACGCCCCTGCGGCAATGTAACAAAGTACCGCCCTCGAAGATTCGTAGAAAGGAGATAAATATTCTACCCGGCGCGCACGTGATCCGGCACAATGTTGAATGAAGGATCAAGAGTGTCATTGTATCGAGTCCCAACGGTCGGTTAGGTTTTTCCAGGGAACGTGATGTATGTTTTCCTGCGATACGCGTGTGTTGAACGGCGATAGAAAGCAACTGGGTAGAGAAGTCGACAAGAAGTCCGTTGGGGACCCTGACACAATGTAGAACGTAGATAAAACATATCGGATATGAAGTAGTATGTACTTTTACCACGCGTCGATCTTATCTATGTATTTCATTAATTCTACTATTTAGTATTCTATTATTCTACATTATTACTGTAGTTTTTTATATTATTCTAATATTATATATACACTGCTAATACATTATTGTATATTATATTATTAATACATTAACATTGCAGGTATAAATAAATTTGCAAGAAGAGATTGGAGTAAGAGGTCAGGAAGCAGAAGTGATTAGTTAATATCAAGAAGCGGTGGAGGTTGAGAAGGGAGAATTTCGGGCAAGCATAAACGGGGAAACATGCGTGCAGGTTCGTCGGATTAACTGAACCGAAATCAAATTTGACGGAATCAGAGTCCGAAACTCGATACCATCCTAGTAAGTTTAATGGAGATATTGAATTACCGCTACACCATAATTCGATGTGATAGGCGAAAAGACTGGGACAAATGGTCCGCATTTTTCGAAAGCCTCCGGTTACGCTAGTTACTACCTAGACTTTCTATTACATATGTCAGCAGATATCTTATTTAAATATCAAATACTCTATTTAAATTTTATTGCAAATATTATTACAATTATTATTATTGAAATATTATAAATATTATTAATTTAATTGTTGAATACACAATTAAAAAATAACTAAAAAAAATGTATTTATTAATTTTACAAAATTAACAAAATTTAGAAAAATTGAAAATTAATTTAATTAATTTTATTTACTTTTTAAAAATATAAGTAAATTAGTTGCATGATACATTAGCATATCTTTTGAACAATTTTCTGAGGAACCATTTTGTTATTCATAAGGACGTTGTGTTCTAAAATACCTGATGATTAATTATTGCTCTTTTCAGATTGAGAAGTATTCTTGATGCTTTAGACTCTCTTATCATTCTACTATCGAGTGCTGAAGATCGCAAAATCAATTAATAATAGAAACGTCAGGGTAAGATCTTGAAGATAAGGAAAGGAGAGGAGTGAAAAATGTGAGACACTCAATTATTGTTTCCTGTGTGTGCTTTTTGATAAACGAGTCCGATTCTTATGGTAATCGGTTTTGTGAAAAGTAGGCGAAAAATGTTAATTGAATTAAGAAACTGTAACTGCGTAATATGTTCAGAACAGCATTGATATTTTGAGAAATTTATTTATTTAAGAGTTTATTTTTATTTATCAGTTTATATTAAATAGTATAATTTATTCAAGACAAATCATTTGACTCTGTGTCTAAAATCGCTGTCCCGTTTTTAAGCAATCTAGTATTTTCCGGTGTTATCACACCCACATAATTAATTATCTAAATCGGAAACCGAATAAGAACAACGCTGGAATTAGGAGGAGAGTAATAAAATTAATTCTTGCACAAAAAATTTCCAAATTTGAAAATTTAAAATTCTTGATAAATAAAATAATATCAACATCTCCAAAGTAATTTGCGAGTGAACCAGCCCGCGAGTATCATGGGAATATCGCATTTCATATCAGTACACACATCATCCGGTGCGCTGAAAGAAGAGGGCGCCTTGTTAGGTCTCATTATCCGTGAAAATAATCGGCAATAGACACACAATACAGGTACCTTGACCTCGTCCTTCGCAGCGCGTTACTTTGATCTTTTATAATTAGTTAAACGATTCACCCAGATACCAAAGACGTCAAGGTCGTTCGTAGGAACGCCCAATGTCAGCGTGTAACGACCGTTTAACTAGCCATTATAAAATATATAGATATTCTCCTCCCAGAGGACACGTGCCTAAATATACCCTTATTTATAAATATATGCTATCTCCCTTCTTACTTGTCTGTCTATATGCACTCTATAAAATTCCTGTGCTTACAAGTTCCATTATTTCAAAATCCCTAAATTTCCCAGTACCTCCAATTTCTAAATCTCTAAATTCCCCAAATTCCTAAATTCCTGAAATTCTCAAATTTCCTAAGTCCCTAAATTCCTCAAATTCTCCAGATATCTGAATTTCCCAAATCCCTAAATTCTCCAAATTCCCAGATTTCCTAAGTCCCTGAATTTCTCAAATTCTCCAGATACCTAAATTCCCCAAATTTCCCAATACTTCAAGTTCCTAAATTCCTAAATTCCCCAAATCCCTAAATTCTACAAATTTCCAGATTTCCTAAGTCCCTAAATTCCTCAAATTCTCCAGATACCTAAATTTCCCAATACCTCAAGTTTCTAAATCCCTAAATTCCCCAAATTCCTAAATTTCCCAAATACCCAGATTTCCCAAATCCCTAAATTCTCCAAATTCCCAGATTTCCTAAGTCCCTAAATTTCTCAAATTCTCCAGATACCTAAATTTCCCAATACCTCAAGTTCCTAAATACCTAAATTCCCCAAATTCCTAAATTTCCCAAATCCCTAAATTCTCCAAATTCCCAGATTTCCCAAATCCCTGAATTTCTCAAATTTCCCAAATCCTTAAATTTTCCATATTCCCAAATTTCCCAAGTCTCTAAATTCCCCAGATCCCCTAAATCCCAAAATTTCCGTAATTCCCAAGTTCCCCAAGTGCCTAAATCGAAGTTGTATTTTCGAAATTCGAAGGCATTAAATGTCCATATGATCAGCGAAATTTATTGACGTATCGGACATGTATAAAAACTAGAACGAGTGCTACAGCTTATTCGGTTGCTAGGCGCGGCTGTTTCGAATGACCCGCTCACAGCGACCTCGAGTCAATCTTTTAAATTTTGCCTGCCACTTTAAGCTGGGAACCTGAATCTATACATTATTCATTTCTATCGCTAATTTCTATTAATCAATAGAAATTTGGAATTTTCGTTACAAGCCACTTAGTGACTTTAACGCCTAACTCTAACGAATTCCAAATTCCTTATTCTAAATCAAGGCTGTTTCTTTTAATCTACTCGCGATCGAAGGATAAATAAATAAATCCGTTAGATGATAAATAATCGTACGTTGAATCTGTGAATGAATAAGCAGATTCTATGGTGTTCGGAAATTGCGTAAAGATTTTGTAATTCATGTTCGCGATACATGAAGTGAAAATACAATTTTTGATTTACAGGCCGTAAGAATGCAAGAGCATTAAATCTGCAAGAGCCTTCGATAACTAACGATCCTTTTAGATACAGGTCCCGCCTACAGTGTGTTTCTCCTGCCAGCATCGATATTTCTTTTACCAACAAGAAAAATTCGCTTTCAACTGTTATACAATTATGCGCTTCACACAATCGACCTGACAACAATTTCTTATTAGGCAATAAATCATGTAGGGAACTATTATGAAGAATAAATTATTCAAGTTTTTTACTTTTCACAATAACCCTCAAAAATATACTTCATAAATTTCCAAAATTTCATTCCATTTTCTCTACGACACATTGCAAACTCGAAGGACAAAGAACGGTACAAGTTTCACCCCCCGGAAAAGTCTCTCCCCATAATTCATCCTCAGGTAAGTTTTCCAAAACGTCCGCTTTCTTAATTTTCAAAGGACAAACGAATTTTCGGTGTCTCCTTTGAGCTGCCATGTGTACGTTTCTACCTGCACGTAAAAACCCGTCGGTGGGTATGTATACCTGTATTCATGGTGTACTTTGGGGTCTTTTGGTTCCGGAACCTGAGACCCGTCCGCATGGTCGAGCACAACTACGAATTGGCCTGAAAAAAAATTCTTCTTTCTTCGCCTGATAGAAATCGTGCATTCGGCGAAGGTGATGTGGATCACGTTACCGAATGCGTCAATCTCTATCTGTTTCGATGACCTGCTTGATATTTCGTCAATCGAGGATTTTTTCAAAAGATTTCAAGTCAATCATTTTTCAATTCAGTCGGTTCATAAATAATAGAACGTATATTTTATACATATAATGAGAAATAGAGGGAAATTTGAAGTTCTGTCTTGTATGTGCAGGTTTTTTTATAGTACAATTTTTATTTGATGAGTCTTTTTTGTGGGTTATGTAGTTTAGAAAAAGTTTCAATGCGATACTGTGCATGGCTGACAAGAAGACATCTGGTAGGATTGCGCGTTGATTGGCCAGACTGAAAGGAGCGGCCTCATTGGTCAGAGTGAAGGGAGTGATTGGTCAAAGTGAAAGACCTGACTGATTGTATGACTGTAGAATATTGTTCATTTTGTGCGTGCAGCTCTGTTGTAGTCCTAGACAATGCCTAAATCCCTAGATTCCCAAAACCTTGAACCCCTACCGACTGAAAATCTCAAGTCCCTAAATTCCAGCAATCTTACATTCTTAAAAATTACTAGATCTGTGTTCTCAAATTCCTACATACCCACATTCAAGAATCTTCAAGTTCCAACAACCTTAAGTCCCCAAACATCACTAGATCAGTCCCAAAGTTCCTACGTCTCCATATCCTGAAATCCTTGAATATCTACATCCCTATATAATTAATTCTTCAAAGTCTTATGGTCTCCATGTCCCTAAATCTTCAAATTCCAACACCTTCAAATCCCCAAAAGTCACTAGATCAGTCCCAAAGTATCTACATCTCTAAATCCTGAAATCCCTAAATATCTACATTCCTATATAATTAATTCTTCAAAGTCTTATGTCTCCATGTCTCTAAATCTTCAAATTCCAACACCTTCAAATCCCCAAAAGTCACTAGATCAGTCCCAAAGTATCTACATCTCTAAATCCTGAAATCCCTAAATATCTACATTCCTCTAGAATTAAATCTTCAAAGTCTTACGTCCCCAAGTCCCTAAATCTTCAAATTCCAACACCCTCAAATCACCAAAAGTCACTAGATCAGTCTCAAACTTCCTACATCTCTAAATCTTGAAATCCCTAAATACCTAATTCAAAAATCCCTCAAAATCCCCCACATCCAAATCCCCAAATTCCTACATCTTTGAATCCCTAAATCCCCAAATGTCAAAAGTGAAAATCAGCGAGGCCCAAATCGTATAATTTCAAAATAGCAATATTTCGTAAGGTCGGCAAAAATTGCATAGCTCCACGGTCGATTAAAATTTTCTCGGTCGAACGAGGCATGTCGGGGTTCCCCCGAGAGCAATTCGCGCCAAAAGTCGGCGGCTTGAATTTCCTCTCCCGACGCGAGTTGCGTGCCAGCCAAGAGGGTTTTGCGCACACGCACACATCCGAGGAACGTATACGTGCACGTATCCTCGGATCGTTCGGTTTCAAAGTGGGCCAGATGCCCGCCAGCAACGCACGTCAGATGTATCATTATCTCGGCCTCACTGTTGCTATGCAATTAGAGTCCGTTAATCGGGATCCCCACCACGTGACGCCAACGCGTCTTTCGTGACGCCAGTGGATGGGGAAAGGAGAGAGCCATAAAGCAGAAAAAGAGACGGTAGAGAAGGGCGAAGGAAACGTTCGAGGGGGGACAGAAAGTCTGCGAAAAAAGAGCAAGCCGATCGAGGCGGGAAAGAGACGGCCGGCCGACGCTGAGCCGAAGAGGAGGACGCCAACAACAACAACAACAGCGGAGCACGTGGACGTGAGAGCGCGAAACTTCTCTGTATTCAGTGTTCGCTCTTTCATTCGCTTTCTTGCGCCTCCTTTTTCGTCCAAACTTTTGCACTTCTCGTTTTTAGGGGGCGTTTCTCATTTTGTCCAGCGCGGTATACCGGGCCCGTAACGAAGAAATTTTCGCACACAGAAACAGTTGTTCCGCGGGCGAAATTTCAACCTTTAATGGCGGCCTTTTCGTCACGATTCCAAACCAATTTTCTACGAATGATTTATACCGGACGAATTTCCTGTTGCATAATAATCGGATCAATTAACCACGTGTCAGCTTTTTATTTTTATCGTATGAGTTATTGCGGGAATCAAGGTAGATTTATGCGGCGGGATTGTGAAAGTCGATCGGCTCTTCGTTTTAAATATTCTTCTTAATTCCTCAATGACAAGATGTACTTTAATGTGTTATAATTTGTCGCTTGCAATATACATCACTTTCATAAAGGAGAAATTTAAGAACAAATGTACTTATTCAATAAATTTATTATTAATATAATTATAATTGTGTTTGATCAATTTTTATTGTACAATTTTCAGCTTTCAATATTTTCAACATTTTTTAATATTTATGTTGACTTTATATCAACATAGTTAGACATAAAAATTGTTATTTAAGAACAGAATTTTGCAAAAGTTTTTTTAAAAAGTT